GCACACAGCAGGGACTGAGGAACAGTAGCTGGTGCCACTGTGGGTCCCTCTACGGGCTGCTGTCATCCTAATACCAGCATAGGAGGATTTTGCGTTCTGTTATTCAGTAGTTGGTACCTGTGTGTTACCCTCGTCACACAGGGAAAAATATGATCACATGGAAGGCAAAGATTGGGTTGCATATTTCTCTGCATTCAGCCACCTTGCAACTGGCACCACGTGGGGGCCTGATACACTCGCAGGATCTTGCTATTATTGTACTCATCTGTCAGCAAGTACTGATGCCTCCAACCCTTCCTCTGCCTCTGCCTGCTCTTTAGCAGCTTCTGTCAATTCCCTTTCAGCCAACAAGGACTTTACCAAGTTATCAGTGACATGCTTAAAACTGAGGCTCCAGCAGTGACCAAGATAAACTCCCTGCCCTCTGTCTAACAGCAAGTAGACAGGCCACCAACACAGGGGCGGTGACGTTAGGACAGCAAGTGCAGGGCCTGGGGGCACAGAGGCAGGCTGCCCAGCCACAGTGAGGGGCCAAGTCCGTGGAGTGGATACTGTTCATAACTGACCCAAGTTCCAAGGGGCTTTACAGGGCTCTCCATCAACCCACAGAGAGAGCCGAGGGCACGGGCATCCTTGTTCCTCAGTCTCACCCCATATGTCCTGGGAGATAGGATGGCTTCTTATCCATCTTCTGAACCCCTGATGCAGAGTGATACACCAATCCCGGGACACAGAGTTTCCAGATGAGCACTGTGCACTGACAGGAGGGGGCCTGTGTCTGCTCCTCACTGGCCCTAGGATCCCAGGCCCCCGCCTGCCCCTCACTCATCCTAGGACCCTGGGTCCAACCTGTCCTTTGGCCTAAAACCCTGGGCTCTAGGTTCCATATCTGCAGATGTGCCTTGATGGGCAGAGAATTAGGAGACAGGGTGTGGGGTAAGTTCATCCAAGTAGCAGCCCACCACACAGCAGTGTCAGCAAAACTGGGCTCAAATCCCAGCTGCCCACGTTCCAGTGAAGGAGCCCCTGACAAGTTGTGAGCAACCTACATCTCAGGCTTTCTCTCTGTAAAACTGTGGCTACCTCAGGACAGGCAGTGTGAGCGATGATACTACAGGTCCTTAGCACAGTGCCAAGTACACACTCCAAAATGACAGCTACTATCAACCACTGGCATTTTCCAAAGTCTTTTCTTTGGAACCTAACTCCCTAAATGCCTCCCAGGACAAAGAGGAGCACAGCCAAGTGAGTGTGAGGAAGGCCTCATGGCCCTCGCCAGGAAGGCACAGTACACGGGGTAGGCCACAGCTCAGAGGGGCCGGAAGTGCAGGGAGCACGCTACTGTTGAACCCAGAGGGTCCCAAACACATTTGGCCCCAGAACCATTTGCCCTCTTGGCTTCTTTCACAGAGTTGCAGCCCACAGGAAGTGCTGACAAAATGGTCCGGACACTAGACTTCCAGATTTCCAAATGTTGCATCATCCCTCCATGACCCATGTGCTTCCAGAGTCCCCAGGGAAGGCTCAGATTTGCTCACATGTAGCAGAGCCCGGTTATTGGGAAGTGTGGCCCCTCTCAGCCCTGAAGCACTAGAGGGGCCTACATCGTCAGGGGTCTGCCACTGATGGCCACGTCAAGCTGGGCCTCCCCCCCTAGTGGCCCCAGATGAGGCCCTGTCCCTTGGCCATCACGTACCAGATGCATATCTCAATGCTTGGTCAAAAATCCAGGTCCCTGAATACTGGCTTCGCACAGATCCACCGTGAGGGCTGCCTTCAGGAGCTTTTCCATCTGAATTACGTAAGAAATCAGAATGAGCCCTGAAAGTTGGAGAATGCCTGAGACATTAGGGAAGGAGCAAAGACAGCTGGGGAGGGGCTCTGAGTGTAGGGCTGGCCAGCCACCTGCTCTTCAGGGCCTCAGTTTCCCCAGCTACACTTCAAGAAGAGTGGACAAGATCACAGTGTCTACATCTTCATTGAAGAGCCTGTGCTGGCCAAGGGGCATCCGTATGTCCCCCAGGGAGCTGGGGTATGGCAGGAAGAGGAAGCAACAGGCCACAACCCCTGTGAAGTTTTGTGTTTTCTCTGTATTCTGAGTCATCACTTGTTTAGAACATAAAATTTCTCCCCAAAAACCTTCTAGCAGAATTATCCTCCAAGATATGCCCCGTGCAATGCAGTGGCTTTGTATGTCCCCGGCCCAAGGCCATTACATACCCCAGGTAGGTCCAGTGGGGCTCTAGAGGGCCTTCTTGGGGACTCTTGGCTTGACTATTCACGGTCTTAACACCTAGGTCCCTGCCCAGCATGCTTCCTCTCTTGCCATCCACCCTCCCTGCCACTCTCTTCCTCCATGAAGAATGCATGGCAGCCTCCATCACCACCTGCTACCAAGCACCAAGTATGGCAGCTCAGTCCTCTGCAATGCTTCTGCATGGACTGGCCTCTGATCTGCTGCCCAGGTGACAAGGCAGAGGCTGGGGCAGGTGTGAGCAGCAGCTCCCCAGGTTCACATTGCCAACTAGTACGAGCAGGATCTAGACTTGGGGCTTCTCACTTCAGCTCAGTTCACTCTCACAACCCCAGCAGACAGAGGTGATCTTTATCCCCATTTTTCAGATGAAGGAAGCAAGGAGCAGAGAGGTGACGCATCTGACTTGCTCCCATGCCACACAGCAGCCGTTTGGAAAACACCAGAAGACACAATGGTTGGGAGCCATTACCACTGACCAAGCACATCTGGCCTCCTTTCCGCCCTCCATCTTCCCAGAAGTCCTCATGTGGTGGGGGCAACTCAACACCTACTTCCAGAATGAGCATAAGGTCCAAACAGCCAGGCTTTCCAGGGCTGAAGACACTCAGCTAGTAGCTGGTGAGGAGCTGGGCTCAAAGCGGCCCTCAGGTCTCCAGAGCCATGCTATTAACATCAGGCCACGTCACCAGCTGGATACCAGATAAGCTGTGTGTCCTCAGTTGTGGCAC